TTTTCTGTATTTTTCCATAAGTTTCAAATATTTCAAAATTTGTCATTAAAAGCAAAATAAAAGGAAACGGTGCTACAATTCCATAGCGATGCTAGGCAGAGCAGGCGGAATGACAGCAAGAGGTCACCATTTCCATCCCTGCCTGGAACCCCAGTTTCTCTGACTACCACCCCCACACACAGTGTCCCAGGACTCAGCTGTGCCCACCTGACCATAGGCCTTGCTGGCACCACCTAGATCCCTGGAGGTCTCCTGCTCCTGGTTTCCTGCTGGAACCCCGCCCCCACTCCACCACCACCATGATCTCTTAGTGGATGCACATCCCAGATGGCCGCCCATCACTCATCACAAAAGGTTGAGCACAGACCCTAGGATTTAAGGCCAGAAGATCTGGGTTCAAGCAGTAGTTCTGCCACATCTTGGCTGCGTGACCCTGGGCAAGTCACTGTACTTCATGTTCGGGATGATAAAACAACAAGAGAGAAGGAACCTGGGTCCCTCGCATTTGTGCCGCTGGCCTACCAGCTCTAAAAGGCTCACCTAGGTCTTACTGACACCTGAGAGAAAGCAATTCTGTCTTGCTTAAGCCACTATTATTCTAGGGATTGAGGTCATTCCGCTCTCTCCAGAATGCCCCAGCCCTCCCCCAACACGATCTAAAGCTTTGCTTCTCAAAGTGTGGTCCCCGGACCAGCAGCCTCGGCCTCAGCTGGGAGCTTGTTAGAGATGCAGAATCTCAGGCAAGATCCCAGAGACTCGCCTCTGTGGGAATGTAAGGAGCCCTGCTCTAGGCCTTGGATACGGAGAGGGACTTTCTGTTGCCCGAATGCTAACCCGAATGCTAAAGCTGCGAAACAGGAACAACCAGGAGCTGCCTACTCCCTTGTTCTAAAGTTGCTTCCAGGGCTAACAGGCGTGCTTCCATCATTTCCACCAGCTCCCCAGGAGCCCCGGTGGGAGGACAGCGGGCAGAGCTCATGAGCAAAGGGAGAGCATTGTAGCTTCTCCCTTTGGCGGCCCCCTCCCCCCACCCCTGCCCCCACCCCAGGCCAATCAAGAAAACGACTCCAAGGATCAGGGAGGCATGCCCGCAAGAAGGGGAACCCAGCAAGTGTCTCATTCCCTGGAGGGGAGGCTCAATGGTCAGCAAGTGAGAATCCCCCAAACCACTTGGATAGGACATCGGAGAAGGAGGAATGAGTGGGAAGGGACAATCTTTTCTCCCAAGGGGTGCAGTCATGGTGCGCCAAGACTGTGATGTCCCAGGGGGTGTCACTCTGTTCTGGGGCAGGCGATCTTCCTTCAGGGATGCTGCTGCTGGTCTCTGCACTGCCTGGTGCCTGATTTGGGGGGGCAGAAGGGGGGATGGCTCCTTCCAAACCCAGGTCCCCATGCTGCCAGATCCCCTTGCCCGTGGACGGCTCTGTGAGGCTCCTGAGTCCACTCATGGCAAACACACATCTTTGCCAAACGGCGGAGGACAGGCTGCCCCTTCTCTCTGCCTGCTGTCCCCTTCCAACTCTGATCTCCTCCTGCTCAGGTGGAAGACCCACTCAGGAAAGTCGCGCCCAAACTGCAGGAAGTGCAGAGGAGAGAGCAGAAAAAATAAAAAACAGAAGGATGGAAATTATTCGATCATAACAGCCAAAAAGTGGAAACAACTCAAATGTCCATCAGCTGATGAATGGGTAAATGAAACATGGTCTGTCCATTTAATGGACTATCACTCAACCATAAAAAGAAATGAAATATCAGCATGCTACAACAGGATGACCCTGGAAACTATGCCAAGGGAAAGAAGCCAGACACAAAGACCATATATTGTATGGTCCCATGTACGGGAAATGTCCAGGATAAGCAAATCTATGGAAACAGAAAGTAGACGAGTGGTTGCCTAGGGCTGAGGGGGATGGGGTGACAGCTAAGAGGGGTGAGGTTTCTTTTTGCAGTAATGAAAATATTCTAAAATCCGCTGCAGTGGCGGGTGCACAATTCTGTGACTATGGTAAAAGCTGTTCAATTGTACACTTTAAATGGGTGAATTGTATGGGATGTGAGTTATATCTCAATAAAGCTGTTTGTAAAATTTAAAAAAAAGGCAAGCACTCAAGAACATTTCTCTGGGGGCTCCTGGCTGACTCAGTCTGTGGAGCATGTGACTCTTGATCTCAGGGTTGTGAGTTCAAGCCCCACGTTGGGTGTTGAGATGACTTAAAAATAAAATCTTAGGGGGGGAAGAAAAAGAACATTTCTCTGAATTGAGGGATATGAGTTTCCAGACTAAAATGTCCTGTCAGGTGCCAATACAATGGACAAAAATAGTCCCTCACCAGAGCCCATCATCATGAAATTTCAGACAGGGATATTCTACAAGCTTTCGAAGAGGAAAAATAGGTCACTTTCCCAAAAAGGGTCAGGACTGAGAATGGCTCCCGGCTGCTCAACTTTAGAAACAAGAAGCCAAAGCATCATCCCTTCAACCTTCTGAAGAAAAGTGATTTCCCACCCAGAATTCTACAGCCAGCCAAAGTAGCAATCAAATGTGAGAGTAAACCAAAGACGTTCGGGGACCTGCCCTGTCTTGAAAGGGTTCCCTCCCACCAGCCCTTCTCAGAGAGTTAGAGGATGTGTTCCACTGATAGGAAGGGGTAAACCACAGACGAGGTGGGGTACAGGGAAGGGGGGTCCACCACAGTGGAGGGGAAGGGACACCAGGAAGCGTGGAGGAGGGAGAGCCCAGGGTCCCAGCTGAGCATCAGGCAGAGACGGCAGCCAGACCACAGTGTCTTTTAAAATAAATAAAATATAGTCTATACTCCCCTAGATAAAATAATGAGTGCTGATTATAAAAAATATGATGTACAGAAAAGGGCAGCCTGGCCCAACTCCTACCTGCTCTTGATCATTTGCTGATGAGGCTCCTCTCGCCCCCCTAGGCCGGGCCACCGCTGTCAGCTGGGGACCCTCATGCTTTGACACCTGGCAACTGAAAAGCAGAAATCCAGAGGAGTCTGCTCCCCCATGCACAGTCCTGCTGCACACCCAGTCACAGGCCTCACCATAGACCTGCAGGGAGCCCCAAGTTTTCATAACCTTACTGACTTCTCCAGAAGGGGTTCCAGTCCCCTCTCGGGAAAGCTGAAGGCAGCCTGTGACCAGAGGCTCTGTCCAGGTGACCCTCCCCAGCAGCCTTCACCTGACAGTAATAGCCCTTCTGAGCCTTGCCCCCAGTTGGTAGACTGACTACCTTTTTCATTCATTTATATGCACGTCCTGCCTGATAAAATTTTCCAAGGTTTTCTTTTGATTGAGGAAGAAAATAGAGTGGAGAGAAGAGTGTGCCCAGAAGTCATGACGTCACAGAAGCCAGTGGGCAGAGGAATCCGAGTGAGTGCACCTAAAATGGGAAGTTTGAGGCAGAAGGCTGCAAGAAGTCGAGCCAGCCCGGTGAGCTGGAGGACTGACCCCGGACTGTGGGCGCCTCTAGGCAGGCTGGGAGTTTAGCCTGCTGGCCAGTAGATGCCCACACCTTCTCCCGGGGGTCATTCCCGGACTGCCCTGGGTACTGCTTGCGAGAGTCCTGGGGCACCCTGTGGCATCCTGTGGGGGCCCAGGGCCCCCCACATCGCCGCCCTGCTGCCCTTGACTGCCTCGCCTGGAGGAGTCTCAGGGCAAGGGACAGACACGCTGCCACGCCGACGCCTGAGCTGCCTCAGAGCTGGAAGCCCCGCAGGTGAGCAGGGTTGGCCCAGCGGGCTTGTCTCTGTTCCGCGGCCACACCGTGGGTTCGGTCCCCAGCAAGGGTTGGGGCCCGGGCTGTGACCCCAGCTCTCTGTGCTGCCCTCGGTGATCAGGAGAGAGTGGACGATGCCATCTCCATTCCAGGTCATCTCACCTGGGCCACAGATGAACATCTGGAAAGGTGGTGGGATTAGACTTACCGTCAAGAGAGGCATAATGCGGTACTGGGGTGTCTTTCTCCTCCTGGGCCCCAGGGAGGGTCAACCCCCCATCCCTGCCTCCCTGGACTGGACCCCACCCTTCTGCTCGCCACAGGCCTCAGCCGCCCTCAGAGCCTTGGTTTTTCCTCAAAGGACAGGAGGAGAGGCTGGGGGTTCGTGGCAAGCTCACAGCCCAAGAGCCCAAATTGGCCAACCCCAGCCGGCCGCCCGGCACCAGCAGCCCCTTCAGAGCAGGCGCGGCAACGCCGGCCACAGCCACGAGGTGGCGCCAGGAAACCGCCTGAGACGCCCGAACCCAGCCCCATCCAGGCTACAGCGCTCTACCTCTCTCCCGCCGCCCAGTCCCTCTGCCCCCGTCCGCACCGGGCCCTAGTTCACGGTGGAGCCCGGCCGGTGGGCCGCGGGCTGGGGAGGAGAAGGGGGAGGCGGAGCGGCCGCGGGGACATCCTCGTGGAAGGAGCCTAGGCACCGCTTCGGTCCAGGGCCACCTGGAGGCTGGACTGCACCAGCAATATCCCGGGTCCTGGAGGCGCCCCCTCAGGTGTGCAGCCCCCACTCCCTGCAGGACCCATTGGGGTGAACCTTGCTCCTCCTGGATTGTAAAAGGGAGAGCAAGGGAATAGAACGTGGAAGAGAAATAGAGCCCTTGTCACTGGCGAGCACCTCCCGTGCCCCGCTCTGCCTGTGTCTAGCTCTGAGCCAGCTTTAGTATTTCTAATCTCTGCGGGGATGTTCCTATCACCAGCCATTCTCAACCGCCTGAAGGGATTCCGTCCCTTTCCCAGGCTGCACAGCTCCCGGTGGTGGGAGCTCGCTAGCATTGGAGCGCACATCGGCATCTGCCACCCAGCCCCAAGCCCCCAGGCCGGGCCACCCCATCCACACCGCGGCACCTCAACCCCATGCCACGGCAGAGGTGCTGACCACTGTGCTGGACCAGGAGTCATCCCAGGCACGCAGCACTCGCCTGACCTTGAAGCCTGGGCTCCTACAGCCTACAGCCTGAGGAAGCTGGGTCCCAAGGCCAGGCTCCCCACCCCCACCCAGTGCCACCCCTGAACTGCTGTCACTTCCCTTACAGTCCACACACCCTGTTGGGGAAGTAACCACCAGACCTGGAAAGAACAGCGGCTTTAGATCCCATGCAGACCTGGAACAAAGCTCCTTCTGCACTTACTTGCTGTGTGATCTTGGGCAAGTCATCTAACCTCCCTGGGTCTCACTGTTCCATCTGTAAAGTGAGAGCGCTTGTACCCACCCTGGGGAGTTGTAACTGTTAAACACTATAACCATGAACATAAAAACATAAAAAATACATAAATACATAAAATTAAATTTTAAAAAAGAAACCATAGCCATGAAAGAATGTTCCTGGTGTGGTGGATGTTCAATAAATTCTGCCTATTGGAGGATGCCTGGCGGGCTCTTGATCTCGCGGTTGTGAACTGGAGCCCCACGCTGGGTGTCGAGTTCCCTAAAATAAATAAATGAATGAGCAAACAAACAAACTCCGCTTATTGGGTATTCGTCGACTCGTATTTTGTGCCAGGCCCTCTGCTGGGCTTCAAGAGAACCCTGGGATGAAGGCGAGCTGCCTGTGGAGCTCTCCAGGAATGACCTGTGGGCTGGGTAAAACTCGGGCCTCAAAATTCAGGTGGCGTTGGGGCGCCTGGGTGGCTCAGTCGTTAGGCGTCTGCCGTCGGCTCTGGTCATGATCCCAGGGTCCTGGGATCGAGCCCCGCATCGGGCTCCCTGCTCATGGGGGAGTCTACTTCTCCCTCTCCCGCTCCCCCTGCTTGTGTTCCCTCTCTCGCTGCCTCTCTCTGTGTCAAATAAATAAACAAAATCTTTAAAAAAAAAAATTCAGGTGGCGTTTCGGTGATGCTAAATGTGGCGGCGTTCAAACATGTATAACATTTCGGGCTCTAAACTTGCTGCAGAGAAGAGTGCATGGAACTACCCTTTGTTGAGTCTCTACCCTGCACCAGGTTCTTCACCTACCTTTGCTCCACAGATGTGCACTGAGGGCCACGTGGGTGCCACGTACCCTGCCGGGACCTGGGGCACAGTGACGAGTGGGAAGGTGACTGCCCGTACTGAGCCTACAAACCAGTGGGGAACAGATGAGAAAGAAGTCAGGACACAGATGCACCTGTAATTGAGGTAAGTGCCTCCGAGGGAAATGGAAGGAGTCGGTCCAGAGGAGGGCACCCCGAGGGTGGAGGGGTGGGAGTGGCTGCCCAGCTGCAGGCAACAAGAGGGGGTGTCGTCAGTAACAAATTTTAAAACAATAAGAACCCACTAAAAGTCGGTCTGCTTTTTATTATCGCTACATACCAGCAATTCTAAAACAGCATCCTCCCCCCAGAATCTGTTGTTGGTTTAAGACCCCAACAACTGTTTCCGTTACTGTTAATTTTTAGTAATATATATGTAAGTTTCAAATTAGTACATTTGTATTACTTAGCCTTTAAAAACCATTGTATTCTGCTTGGAAGTTAATTTGGGAGAATTCCCAGTCATTGAGCCACTCCTGGGACCAGCTCCCCGAGGTCATGTGGATGCAGAATTGTTCACGCTCACTTCAGAGGAATGCTGTGTCTCGAATCCCCTTTGGACTGTCCTTCATTGAAACAGTCGGTTTGAAATAAACAGTGGTAGCGTAGTCCTGCGCGACCATTTGGAGTTCTTAGTTGTTTAAAAATTGTCAACTGGGAAGATATCTGAAAGCTGCTAGAATATCCATCCTGAGGAACTACATGTGGACAGGACCGCAATTTCTGGAATTTATTGTGAAATGGGTTTTTTCCCAATTTCTGCCAAACTTATCCTTATGTTTAAGGCTTTCCCTAATTATTTGTGTATCTATTGCTTCATCCGAGAAAGAACATTTCCAAATAAAAATTAATAAAAAATATGCTTCAGTTAATTATGATCAAAGACAAACTGAGAAATCTGCCTAAGCTACTTCTTGAACATAAAAATATGCAAAGATTGGTTTTGACAAACTCACTGACAAATTTGCAGAAGGCTGGAAAACAAAAAGTGCATTGCTATCATTCATTCCCACAATCGACGTAGATACACATTTTCCCAAAATGTATTAATGTAATTAAACATTTTTCTCAAAAAGTTTTTCTCAAAAAATGCATTAAGGTAATTAAACAGTATTAATCCATTATTTAAAAATTTTATTGTACTATATATGTTTTACTTTATTTTTTACTATGATGAATCCATATACAAAATTCAATAAAAGAAAATTTGCACTGCATTTTTTAATTGGCCAGTTAACTATTCATATCATGATTATTATTGAAAATCATGTATAGAAGAGGGATATTTAAAAAAAAATCTATTCTGGGGGCGCCTGGGTGGCTCAGTTGTTAAGTGTCTGCCTTCGGCTCAGATCATGATCCCAGGGTCCTGGGATTGAGCCCCGCATCAGGCTCCCTGCTCAGTGAGAAGCCTGCTTCTCCCTCTCCCACTCCCCTTGCTTGTGTTCCCTCTCTCGCTGTGTCTCTCTCTGTCAAATAAATAAATAAAATCTTTAAAAAAAAATCGATTCTGGATATCAAATACTCTAGGTGTGCCCCTGCAGTCAGGGAAGTCTTCCCTTGAGTAAGCGAAATCCCAGCTGAGCTTTGAAGGGTGAGTTGGAGATGGCCAGGGAAAGAGGGTACTCCAGGCAGAGAAAAGATCACATACAAAGGCCCTGTGTCAAGGCAGAGGGAACAACTCAACACTGAACTGTGGCTAGAGCAGAGTCAGCAAAGGGGAAGGACCACAAGCTGAGACCCCACAGGGCAGCAGGGCCATGTGATTGGAATGGGATTTGGTTGGACTGTGAGAAAACCCAAAATAAGTGACTTAAATTAGATCACATTTCTGTCTCCCATAAGAAAAACTCAAAGGTGGGCATGTGTGTGCATAACAGTGTCAGGGACCAGGCCCCTTTTGTCTTGTTGCTCCTCTGGCCCCAGTATTGGCTTCCTCCTCATGGTCCAAGATGGCTGCTTGAGTGTCAACCATCATGTACGCATTCTAGTCAGCAGGAAAGATGAAGGAGCAAAGGAAGCCCCACCCCCCCACACACAGAAGAACCCAACACCTGCCTGCATCCAGTCAGTCAGGATTTAATCATTTGGCCCAACCTAGCTACAAGGGAGGCTGGGGAAATGGGATCTTTATTGAAAAGGCCTTGTGCCGGGCCACTAACAAGGGCTTCTCTTTCTAAAGAAGGAAAGAATGGATAATGGGGAAGGATACATGTCTGCCACACCATGAAAAGAAGCTTAGTCTTTTTCCTAAAAGCAATAGTGAGCCATTGAAGGTTTGAAGAACAAGAGTAGTGTGATCATACCTTCATTTGAAGATGGTAAGGAATGGCTGGCCAGCTGCAGTGGCTTCAGGGAGGCAGGAGGAGGCTCCCACAATGGTCCAGGCACAGTGGTATGGCGGTAGAGTGGACGTTAAGAGGGAGAGGAAGAAATCAAAGATGCCAAGACTGCTAGCTGGAGGAACACTTATTAAGATTGGCCAGAGTGGAAGAGAAGCAAGTTTGTGGGTAACATCATGAGTTTAGTTTGGACTTGTGATGCCCGAGGTGCCTGTAAGACATCCAAATGGGGCTGTTGGCGGGCAGTTGGATATACAAGTCCAGAGCACAAAGAGCGGTCTGAAGGGCAGACAGGAGTGAGGGGGTCATGGTGAGGAGATGTTATTTAATGCCACAGGCCAGACGAACACACATAAGTGCAAGGGTGAAGGCTGAGCCTGGGAACTCTACCAGCGACAGGCTGGGAAGAGATGGTGCAGAAGGAGACAGAAAGAGAGACCAAACATCAGATGAACAGAAGAGAGAGGACTTACGGAAGCCAAGGGAATTCAGTGTTTAGAGGAGAAAGAGAAGGTCTTCCCTGCCCTGGCCTTTCCTGACCTGTACTGATGCAGAAGCAGGAAAATGAGAGAAGACCCCAAGTCAGGAGTCAGCAGACCTGGCCCCAACACCTCCCCTACCAGAACTCGATTCCTGATCTGTAAAATGGGGCCAAGGCACCAACCCTATTGTGTAGCCTCACTTGTTGCCTCTGTAACACCATTCCTCCTGATTCCCTAACAGAACCGCAGTTTTATTGGAGTAACCATGGCAGAGACTGCCAATGGCCTCAATATCCATTCTCCCTTCTTCCATAGAAATGGAAATTTCAGCTGGCTAAAGACTACATTTCCCAGCCTCCTTTGCAGTAAAGGGTGGTCATGTGACTGCAGTGAGTTGTGTTACTAGAGGGGAACCCTGAGCTTAGGGAACCTGAATCTTTTATTTTTTATTTTTTAAAGATTTTATTTATTTATTTGACAGAGAGAGACACAGTGAGAGAGGGAACACAAGCAGGGGGAGTGGGAGAGGGAGAAGCAGTCTTCCCACCGAGCAGGTAGCCCGATGCGGGGCTGGATGCCAGGACCCTGGGATCATGACCTGAGCGGAAGGCAGACACTTAACGATTGAGCCATCCAGGCGCCCCAGAGCCTGAATCTTTTAAAACGGGATCTTAACAAACTTGCCCTTTAACCTGGAGGAAAACACTATCTCCTAAGGCTGTTCACTATATGAACCTCTTTGAGAGATGTGCAGAAACAGGAGGGACCCATGGAGAATTAATTCTTTCCCAGCATTGCAGTAATACTGGATTTTGAATGAGCAGTGGTGTAATTATGGCCATTGAGATATGCAGATGAATTGTTAGCAGCTTCCAAGAAAGCCCTCTTCTTTCATCCTACGTTGTGGCGTCTAGACATGACACTTGCTGACAGGCAGCCATCTTGTGACGGTAAAGAAAAACATGGCAGGGGCGCCTGGGTGGCTCAGTCGTTAAGTGTGTGCCTTCGGCTCAGGTCATGATCCCAGGGTCCTGGGATCGAGCCCCGCATCGGGCTCCCTGCTCGGCCAGGAGCCTGCTTCCCCCTCTCCCACTCCCCCTGCTTGTGTTCCCTCTCTAGCTGTCTCTCTCTCTCTCTCTGTCAAATAAATAAAATAAAAAATCTTTAAAAAAAAAAAAAAAGAAAGAAAGAAAAACATGGCTGACCCCCTGGCGATGGCAGAGACGGAGGTTGAAAATAGCCTTAGTACTTGAGGATGCTGTGGAGCCACTCAACCAGCACTGGAACCACTTCACCTCTTGCCATCTTGTTACAAGAAAAGCAGAAATGTCCTCATTGTGGAAGCCATTTGAGTCAAGTGTCGGCTTGAGGCATCCTGAATCTGGCGGCTCCTTGGGGTCCCTTCCAGCTCTGAGGTCTATGGTTGTATGATGCCCCCTCACTCCACTCCAACACACTGCTCCCACATCCTATGAAGCTCCAAGGAGGGGCTCCCACATTTCTACTGGGGAAGTACATGCAGGAGTGGAATGGAGGCAAGGCCATTTCCCCTGCAGGCTCCAAGGGGAGCTTATTCCACCTCACATTTGTCCCCACTGGAAGCCCCAGCGGGGCCCTGAGGATGGCCCTCAGTGGGGAGCTGTGCAACCTTGGGGGTAAGGTTACTCAGAGGGGAGTTTGGACCACCATGGGGAGACTTGGGGGTTGGTGGAGGGGACCCTGAGGAGGAGCGGAGCCAGGTGACACACTCAGCAATTTCAGTGTGGCTTGGGGCTGTGGGTGACAGATGGTTTGTCAGATCAGTTCATCAGGACTAATGGGCTGCTCTGTTACCGCCCACGGAACACGCTGGGTGCAGATCTGAACATTTGAAAGGGAGCTTTCTGGAGACACTGGCTTTTAAGCCAAACATGAATCTAATGGGGGGGGGGGGGGGATTTCAAGTACCTTGAACAAGCTGGTGGGGCATACTTAGGGGAAAGGCAGGGATTTTATCACTCCTCAAATCCTCAAAAGACCCTCCTTCTCAATTCAAAAGCAGGGACGCCTGGGTGGCTCAGTCGTTAAGCGTCTGCCTTCAGCTCAGGTCATGATCCTGGGGTCCTGGGATCGAGCCCTGCATCGGGCTCCCTGCTCGGTGGGAAGTCTGCTTCTCCCTCTCCCACTCCCCCTGCTTGTGTTCCCTATCTTGCCGTCTCTCTCTGTCAAATAAATAAATAAA